GGACATTTTATTTTCCTTCAGCACATCTATTGTGCTAAAGCAGAGAGAGCCAGAAGGTTGTTTGCCGTGAAGCTGCTAAGTAACAAGCTGACTCATTACATTCGGACTTGATGGGCCAATATGCTTGCTTCTTTTATAAGTTCACGTTTTCAGCATATTAAATCATCTAAAGCCTTCGCTCTGTTTGCTAGGCACTCGCTGTTTCCTTATTGTTTGTTTTCAGGCATCAAATGATCCAACCACTTGGGCACTTGGCAACATGAGGGCAATAAAGAGAAGATGTTCTACTGTATATTAGTTTCATAAGCAATATGCTTGAAATTGGACAGTGATATTCATCCCTGTAGGGCTTGAAAGAATGTAACTGCAGCATCACTTCAAATTCAGACTGCCGCTGCAAACCAGCTGTATGTTTAGACTGTAAATAACTTGCTGTCATGCTGGTCAGGGTGATGCATCTGGGTTTCAGACAATAAACTGCTTTGAACTGTTTAAGCTTTGTGACAGTTGAGTGTTGGTATGGCTCCACACTGGATTTTTATTTATAGTGTTAATATGCTTCCATATTTCTGCCATGGTTTATGCCTTAAAAGCGCCACATATCTTGCTGTATTAACAAAACACCTGTCTGTCTGTAATTTCACTTTACGGCTTTTGCTATCAATTACATTAGCAATCAACAGTGTTGGGGTAGTAACTCGATAAAAGTGTAATCCATTACAAACTACTGATGCTTCGACAGAATATTTATGGCTTTACACTGTTTCCTGTGTTCACGCTGTGCTACTTATATTTACAGTCATACACAAATTACGTAAAGGACAGTCACAAATAATCTATATGGAGGAAATATGTGTTTCCATGCTAAATTAATATTGCTGTCCTAGAGTAATGAGTAATGCAAGTAGTGGAATTCTACCACCAATTATACCAATTATTATTTTTTATTATTAGATTTTGAGACCCTTGATACTACAACTAATTGACAAGAAAGTTTATTTACAGTATTTTAAGATAAACAGCTGACATCTAGCCCTGCCTCACACTAAGTCTACTAAATGTATCACTGCAAAACTTTCAGGATGTCTACGCTGGAAATGTCTTGTTTTTTGTTTTTAGATAGTTGAACCATGTTTTGATGAAAGTCAGCAGGTTTAACGGCAGTGGTGTAATATCAATGTGGCGCGACATACCAATGTAAGAAACAGAGTGTCAAAAACTGAGCTCTGCCGCTAGTTTCAGATGTAAACAGCTTTGTTACAATGGGAGTTAGTTGGTTTCGTCTTTGTCGCTTGCTTGGGTTGCTTGCAGTCATTATAGTTCTTTGGAAGGTTTGTTACTTATAAAAAAGTTGTGACTGCTACTTATTTTACCAAGTGGTTGTCTACATTACAAGCAAATAAGGTGAAGATGGAATGTTATTTGAGGTGTTGTATTCGGAACGCCATTATCAAGAGATATTGGTTTATATAAAACGCTTCTTAGCCATTTACATTGCGAGGTCAGAACTAATAGTGGTATAAAAAGTCTGTAATGTGACACTGTAAACTGTAATGTGATAAGAGTTTGCTGTGTGTTCAGTGGGGTTGAGATCAGAGCTCTGTGCAGGCCACACCAAACTCAAACGTCTTTATGAACCTCGCAGTCCTACTGGAACAGGAAGGGGTCTTCCCCAAACTATTGCCACATTGGAAACATATAATTGTGTAAAAATGTCTTCGTATGCTGTTGCAATAACATCACCCTTCACTGGAACTAAGGGGCCAAGCCCAAACCCTGAAATACAGCCCAGACTACTATCCCTCCTCCACCAAACTTTACTGCCACTACATGTTCCAGCAGGTCGCGTTCTCCTGGCATCCACCAAACTCGGATTCATCCATCACACCTCCAGATAGTGAAGTGTGATTCATCACTCCAGAGAACTTTTCCACTTCTCCAGAGAACTTTTCCACTTCTCCAGAGAACTTTTCCACTTCTCTAGAGTCCAGTGGCAGCATGCTGTATACCACTCCAGCTGACACTTGGCATTGTGCATAGTGATCTTAGGCTTGTATGCAGCTGTTTGGCTGGTATGAGCAGAGGATTGGTTGAGCTGTTGTTGCTCCTAGATGCTTCTCTTTCACAATAGTAGCGCTTACAGTTGACCAGGGCAGATCTAGCAGGACAGAAATTTCACAAACTGACTGGCACAAGTGGTGTCCTATCATAGCGCAATGTTTAAAGTCACCGAGCTCTTCAGTATGAGCCATTCTACTGACAGTGTTTTGTCTATAGAGATTGCATGGCTGTGTGCTTAATTTTATACACCTGTTAGCAATGGGTGTGGCTGAAACACCTGAACTTGATAATTAAAAGGGATGTCCACATACTTCTGGCCATATAGTTTATCACATACTGTATAATATTAACATGTTTTCACCTATGTATGTGGGATAGTAGGGTGTGTGAGTAGTTTAAAAAAAAAGTTTATATATATATTTATTATTTATAATTGGATATATATATATATATATATATATATATATATATATATATATATATATATATATATATAAAATTGGTATCGTATCAGCCAATTTTGAAAGTTACAATATCGGTATTGGTATTGGAAATCACGCCGTCCTTACAAATCATGTTTAGCCTTTCAGAGATTAAAATTACACAAAAAAAGATGAGCAATGAAGCCTTTTAAAGTACTTAATCTGTTTTGCTTTGTTTTTCACTGTCAGCATGAATGTCTCTCTTTCTCTGTCAGGGCTGTGCCTCATTTGCGTGTTGTAGACGGTGGTCCACAGTTGTAGTGATACGGTGTGATGTGGTGGTCTCCAGAGGCTAGTGGGACAGTTAGATTTCTGGCACTGTTCTCCATTCCAGATGGGCTGCTGTCAGTCGTTACATTGATTTGGTATGCTTCAGACATCCTGGGTTCAGAGGCTTAAGAAAAACATAGAGAAGCTTTAATAAAGCAGTGGATCTGGAAGAGGAAAGTGATTTGCACTCCGGGTGTGTGTGGGTGTGTGTTTTGGGGTTCATTCGAGGATTAAGCATATAGGACATCCCATTTGCATCTTGCTGTGTGGAATTATAATAAGCTGCACTGCTCTCCCTCAACTTTCTCTTAGAAGTTTTTAACCTTTAGGGTTGTTTTGTATGAGTGTGAAAAAAATCTCATTTTAGCTTAGCATCAGGACAAGCCCAGAGTCTATACCGTTTTGTCTATGAGATAAACAAATGCAGGTTGTCACAATCTGTGATTAAGAAGTTCCAGAGCATATAAATTTTGTTTTGTGCACATATTCCCCCTGACTATAACTGTTCGTTGAATTACGGTCGTGTGCAAAATTTGAAGACCCCAGATTATATTACATGTTTTGATGATTCCAAGTATGTTCTCACATTCTCTACTGATCATTTTAATGCACAATATCTCTGCTTAGTTAAACATATCATTACTGCCAAAAAACCTGTGTCTAGGTTATTTTTTATTTTCATTGTTCTCCCTCATTTGAACACAGTAGCTATCCTTAACATCTTTATCTAACATTAACTTACATTACCAGTAAACGATTTGCAATTTTTGAGGTACTTTTTGACAATGAAAAACATAAGAAAAAAAAAAAAACATAAAATATAAAATGTGCCATAACTTTTGCATAGTTTGTTTTTTTACTAAAATAAATAAACAGTAATTGTGCTTTAGAATGTGTTCTCTGTAGAGGATGTGTAATTACATCCACTTCAAAAATCAACAAATCATTTCATTTGACCAGGGGGGTCCAAACTTTTGCAGACGACTGTATGAGGTCCTTGGAAACCAGCAAACCTAGTCAAATGTGGTAACCAAGTAACTTTGACAGTAGCAGCCTACATTTGAGTAGCTGGTGTTGTTGTATAATAGTTTTGAAGTAATATATAGTTATAATTAGGGCTGAAAGAATCGTTTTTATATCAGAATCGCAGAAGCATCCATGTGATGTGCCATCACCACCACAGTTAACTGGCAGGCTGTTGTGTTACTTAACGTAGATAATGTGTTAAGCCTTCAAGCCCCAAGCCAGTAAAACTATACCCTGGTCTTCTTAGCCCAAAAAGCAGTTAAAATCATAATCGCAGTATTGGTGAGAAAAATTGCAATTAGATATTTTTCCTAAATCGTTCAGCCCTAGTTGTAATCCTAACCTTACTTTCACATAATTTATTAACACCAATATGTTAAAATAATAATTGCCACATCATCTACAGAGAACAAACTCAAATATAGCATTTGTTTTATTTATTTGTTTGAGTTTAATATATTGGGGGAAAAATAAAATGTAAAATATAAAAAGTGCCATAACTTTTGCACAGACCACATTTTACCCCAATATGTTAAATTTAGCAAATAAACACTAATTGTGCATTAAATTGTGCAGAAGTGTGTTCTCTGAAGAGGATGTGTACTTATTATGACTGGGGTGCCCAAACTTTTGCATACAACTGTACATAGGATAAAGCATCTCGAATTTAGAATATTTTTGTTTACCACGTGATGCAATATGGGAGATGTAGCACTTAGAAAATAGCACTTTTCTCATAGGGAACAATGGCTTACATTGGCTTAGAGTGTGTTCTTGACCTGTCCGTGCTCCACCCACAAATGCATTCTGTTGTAAAGTTGGATAACTTTTACAGATTGTTGGCTGAACTTCTGTTCAACATAATGAATTCAAGATGTAATTTAGACTTGCTATATTTTTAATTGAGCTTTCACACTAATACAAAATAAACTAAAAAACTAAGTGCTCTGAAGTCTTTCATTAGCTTGAATGGTAATTTTACTAATGTTCTTTATAGCTTGTCCAACCTGGCAACAGTTGCTACAAAACAGCGCATTTGTGGGCGCAGCTTGGATTGGTCAATTTAGGTATATTGCCGGCTACAAAATAATGCCCAACCTCAGAGGTCCATGGATGCACCTGTACTTGGCTAAGCACCTTTTTCCTGTGTTCTGTTTACAGCGCTGTGCGTCTTGATCATGAGAGACTGACCCATCAGTGAACGGATCTCCAAAGCAAAGGACCCGTTATGACTACCAGTCGGCGTAGGCATGAGACTGGACACAGCTCCGAGGAACCAAAAGTCCCGATGATGTCCTCCCTGAGTGACCAGTGCTGGACAGCAGAGGAGAGTGTGAACACTGCTTGCTCTCCCACCACCAGTAAGACAGGAAGTCCACCTTCAAGCCAGGCATCAATCACTTCTTAAGTCCCGCCCCTTATGAATGCCTTAAAGACACAGTACACTACATCTCTGCGCAGAGGGATACAGAATAGAAGACTTCTTTAAAAAAAGCTTGACCTTTTTTTTTACCTTTATTTTATTTTCTTTATGTGTGAACCTGTGTCTTGTATGAAACAGATGTGAATATTTTAATATAATAGAGAAATATTTGTTTGGTTGTAATATGGACACTTGATTCTGTTGGGTGGGCTTGGTGAGAGATTTGCGAAGCGGGTATAAGGCCGTGCTCTCTGTCTGCAGTGTCTAGTTTTTTAATCTCCTCCTTCTGTTTCGACCCAAACCACGGGCTTGAAGGGCGAGAGCTGGCAAGCAGGCTGCCTGATGTCAGCTTGGAGTCGTCCCAGGGCCTTTCATTAACAGTGTATTCATGCAGGATCAAAACCCATTCCACTCCCCTCACCACCGGACTCAGTATCATGCCACTGCTGTCAGAGGAAGCGCTAACGTCTCGCCAACTACAGAGTTCTTAGGAGGTTATATAAACTCTTGTGCTGGTGCGAGTTGTTTAGAGTTTAAGTATCTCACATCAGTATGTATTGCTAGTACTGCTAGCTGCCAATTCCTGTAAAATTACAAGCAAGCAAACAAAAAGACAAGGAGCAACAGGGTTTCCTCAGGAAGACCAGGACGGGTCATATGTTAGAGGATGAAGGATTGTGCTGCCAGGTGCCATGGACATTTAATTGGGCTTCACGTGTGTTCATTCTTGGACCTGTGCCGAATGTTGTGTATACATCATAAATGTCTCTTTTGTATCATCATATGCAATCATAGTCCGTGCTGCGTAGTCCCACTTTTAAACATCGCTAATCAAATTAGCATAATCAGCAGGGATATGAACCATTGGCCTGGCAACAATTACCATTCACAGTGCAATATAGCAATCAGTACCATTTGGTATTATATGATGTGATGGATGACCCAGCTGTCTGGTGGGGTGCTTTATCCATTACTCTGCATTCAGCAAACATGCATACAGACAGGGTCACAAGAGGCAAGCAAACCTGTCTGCTTAAATTAGGAATGTAGTTCCACAATTGTACATTACAGCAACGGCAAATTAAAGCCTTGAAATCTAATGTAACAGCACAAGCTAGTAGTTAAACTCCTTAGTATTAAAAATACATTGAATTTGCTTGAGTTTGATTTTTCCACATGAATAAAATACATCAACAAAGTTTTGTCCTTCAGTTTGGTAATAATTGTGTTGGTGTAACATGCTTTATTCATATGGAAATTATGTGCACATTTGGATCAAGTAAATTCAGTGCATTTTTCTGTGCACACTCATAAAAATAAAGGTTCCTAAATGATTCTTGGCTTAGATAATACAGTGCTAGGACCAACCTTTAATTGGTATAGAAGTTTTATATTATGTGGAGAATCGTTAGAGTCCAAAAAGGTTCTTTATACGTGCATGACAAAAGTGTTTTTTTAAAAAAAAACAATCTGTTGAAAGGTCCTTGGCTGCCTTTATGTGTTGGCATTAAAAAAAACAGTCATTCATAGCAGAATTGGAGTAATCAGCGATGGTATGCAACTGATGCTATACAGCCATGTAAACACTGCTATGGTGATAGCCAGTGGCCCACCCACATTTGTCACTGGCCCACCCAAAATAACATCTCAAATGTAATTTGAATATAGAATCTTAATAAATAAATAAACCAACCAGTATAAAAATGAACTTGATAGATATTCCATGAAAATGCAGTTTTTGAAATTGAACCATCAAAATTCCAGTTTAACCGAAACTATAGATTAAGGCCTTTTGAAAGCTTTTTATTATCAGAATTGGACAAAAGCTCATCAGAGGACAAAAACCTTTTCCAAGACCATAACTGCTGCATATGAACATAATTCATTTCAAGGCACAAAAGTAACTAAGCGGAGCTTATGATGTTACATCAATACAAATCTGAATGTGGCTTATTAAATCTAAAAGCATTAATACCAATAATAGAGAGGAATCACAAGCAGATTGAAGTTATGCGGGATGTTATTGCTTTTTTTGTGCAAAGTGGTTTACTTTTTTTTCTTATTATGAATTTTGGGCATCTCAGTTACTCTGTTTTGAGGCAGACGCCTAGCAGACCCCTCATAGTAATGGTTCAGTTGTTACTTTGTTTTAGCCATCAGCCGTGGGAGTGAAATTCAGAGTTCGGCCCACTCACACCACCACTGGTGATAGCGTTTCTTCTAGCTATTGTTTGTAATGGTGTGCTTTTGGTGAGGATTTTGTTGAACACGTACACCTGGATTTCAGCTATGAGCACTCAGCACTCACGTTTTGAAAAAATCAGCATCTGGTTTATTCCAGCGTTGCAGTTGTAAATCTTTTTGTGCCAAGGAGAGAGCCAGGAGACTGAGATGCAGCGATGAAGTCTGTATTTGAGAGCGTGCTGTCCATCAGTTTTCAGTAGTCCAATGTGACAACAGTCTTAGCAAAAAGGCATTTATACCATGTATTTCCCCTGCAGCGATTGGTACATCTGCTAGTCAGGAAACACATACAATAGACATCTTGTACGCCAGGAAACATATGACCAGCCATGTGTTGGAGGCTCAATCAATAGTTGAGGTAGACATCTGCTAGGCATGTGATCAGTCATTAGTGAGCTCTGCAATTCAGAATCAGGAAAAATAGAGAGGAAGTAAACTAAAAGAACTAAAACTAATGAAAGAAAATAAAGTTAACCGCATGGCTGATGGCAAAAGTTGGGAAAATTGAACTCTTCATGGAATATTCTACTGACTGCTGCTATATACTGTCATCGCTGTTAGCATTGGCAGAAAATTCCATCGCTACTCGATTGAAAAGACATAAAATATCCAGTTTACCATCGTCTACCTTCATAATAACCCGCATTACTGACTCAAGAACCCTCCAAAGAGCACTTTTTGGGACCTTTATTTTGAAGAGTGTAAAAGGTTTGAGCTGTAACTTTATTTTGCTTGGTTACTGTCATGCCCCAACAGGCATACAGGCATTGAGAGTGGATATGGAGCGAAATTCCTTTTAAGCGATTAAGTCAGCCACTGTTCTTGGTTTGTGTTTAGCATTGTCACTTCTTACTGTCATTGCTGACTGAATGCCTGCTTAATTTATCAAGCTACTCTCCCTGGTAAAAAGAGCCCGAGATTGATTCTGGGTGTATAAGGCTGAGGAATCAAGGCCAATGCTTCAGCATCCACGAGTGCTTCCAAACAGTTTAGGCTCAAATTTAATCTGCGCTTTTATAACCCCATGCTGCAAACGGTGCCCTCGCAGCCACGGCAGCAAATTACAGTATCACACAGTGACAGCGCAACAATAATCCCCACCACCATCACCACCACTGCCACCGCCACAACCCCCCACCCCCCCACCCCCCAACTCACACAAACACACATACACAACGCCTGCGAAATCGCATCCTCACTTCACAAACCCTTTCTGTACGGAGGAGAGAGGCAAAGCTGCTTGTGAATAACACAAAACACCCTCTGAAACTTCCACAGTACTCTCTCTCTCTGTCTTCCTTTGCTTATCTAACACATTCAACCATGCATGCGGGCATGAGCGCAAGCAATCTTGCATTCACTCTTTCTCCCTCCCTCGCACTCTTCTCCTCTCTCTCTCTTTCCACCTCTCTCTCTCTCTCTCTCTCTCTCTCTCTCTCTCTCTCTCTCTCTCTCTTTCCACCACAACCGCACCTGCTGGAATCAGCTCAGAATAGAGATAAGCCTGTCAGAGACGTTACGTAAAAGGATGCTGTGGAGTTTTCTTAAGTGAAATATTTGAAATTATAGCTTGTATCTAAAAGGATGAAGCAGCTGCTTTGTTTGTCATGAAAAAAAAAAAATGCATTCAATTCATCTGTATGCAAAGTACTACGGAGGTGTATTATCTATTTTTTTAAAATCTAGCCTTGACTCTTATATAACCAAAGTTGAATTGAAATTCCGTTCTATGTCGGGGACTCTCTTGCTCTCCCTCTCTCTTTTTTTTCACTTGGAGGTATAGACCTAGTGAGGGTAGACGCACATTAAACATATGTACATAAAGCAGATGTCTATTTTAATGTGTCCTGTTAAGAAAATCACATGCGTCACTTGGGGAAGTTATACTTTTTTGACTGTTAGGCATCTCCAGCCCCCCTAAACCCCATGTTCTCGTCATCTTCGTGTCTTCAGGCTCTGTGATCCCTCCATCCGTCTGATCTCCAGTGGCGGCAAATGCTAGTTCTACCCACCAAGATCTTTCTTTCTCCGTCTGTCTCTCTCTCTCTCTCTCTCTCTCTCTCTTATTCTCGTTCTTGCTCCCTTTCTCCTTATCTGTTTTTTTATAGCTATCCAGGCTTTCTAGCAAAGAGGTCCAGCAGAGCTTTCCATCTACCTGATGACAAAGTGTAGGTGGATCGCTGCTTGCGAGCTGGACGCAGGGCAACGTGTCACGTCACATGTCGTAGACGCACATGTGACACAAACATGTAAATACATGCTAGCAAGATAATGATGTCACCCTGGCACGTTGCTCTGGGCTCCCCCGCAGCGGACTGGGACAGTTTTAAGCGACAAAGCTCCTTACCAACCCACAATGCAATGCGCATGACTCTCGTTGTACATCCAGTCAAGAGCCAAGAATTATCATCCAACCACAAAGGGGGGGGTCTGCGTTACCATGGACACTCGACCAGCGCTGATTGGTCGGCTAGTTTTCCTCGAGGAAGAGGAAGAGTCACTTGGAGAGCGGAGGAGAGTTACTTGATGGGGCAAAATCAATGCTGGTCACATACGGCACATTTTCTGATTGATTTGATCAGTCGATAGCTTTGTTCAGATACAGCTTCCCTTGTTCAACTGATGTATGGGCCTGTTACTTGTGC